CAGGGAGGGTACCTTGAGGGCGCTGGGGTGTGGCACAGGGCCGTGTCCTGCCCTACCCTCCGTGCACCGGGTCTGGGGTAGCGCTGGGGGCCCTTTGCGAGTCCCTCTCAGAGGGCCGGTGGTTGTTACTCCATCGTGTCTAAGTCTCGGGCTTTTAGGGCTTTTCTGCTGGTCTGTAAAAAGGTACCTTTCAACATCTTTGTTTAGCCATCCAAAATTTTGTTTGTTGGAGGGAAGTAAAGAAATAGTCATTATACGTAAAGAGCAAATAAAGAGAACTCCACCAAATCAAGATAAAGCTTCTGGCCAAGAATACCGTCCTGCTTGTATGAAAGGTTATCAATCTGTGGAAGATAATGTGTTTGATGTTACTTGAACTTGTCATAAACATTGTCTTTATTAACCTGTAATATATATTATCTGTATCTCTTGAATTCTATTGCACTGCCATCTAAAATGTCCTCACTAAAGTTTTACACACTGCTTTTTCAGATATCACAGGTATTGTTTCAGTGTCCGCTGCCAATTTTTACATGATGTGTTACCTATTTCCCATACTATCACTAATTGCTGCCTCTGAAATCTTATGTACTTGCTTAACTTCATGCAGCAAGTAACTGATCCATATAAAATCAATGCTACTTACTTTTTTTATGCTGTTTAAATCCATTTTTTCAGGTGAGCAAATAACATAACTATTGCATCAAGTCAGGCTGTGAATCCTAACTACTCATAGGCTCAAATAAGTCTATTTTAATAATAAAATAGCTGTTGGTCAACGGCAAAGTTGAGTCTGAGGTGTGGGAGAGCTGGATATGACCTATAGCCAGTGTTTTGACAAGTTCAACTCTTTACTGAATTTTGAGGAGGCTAGTTGCATTCATCGGGAATGTAGGAATATGGTATTTGTAACTGCTGTCTCCCTGTGTTCTTTAGATTTACCAGAAATATTTTGTGTAATGCGTCATAGGATTGCATTTGTTGGTTTTGTAGCTTCATCAAAGTAGCTGCTTGTAGCAGTTGTTATTCTGAGTCTGCAGATTGGTAATGGTAGCAGGGTTTCCTGAGCCAGGTAAATACACCGTCTTCCATCCCCTCTTGTGATATCTGTTTTAGTGAGTCAGTTGCTTGTGTAGCTATATGCTTTTAGATTGGGGAATTGTTGGGTTGGGTTTTTTTTGAAAAACAACATGGTAGGAAAACAGAGGGAGTGATGCAGGGTTGACAACAAACTGTTTTGACAGGGAGGGTTGGGAAGAGGAAGAGTTTTATGCCAGAAGTGTTGTCTAAGAAATGTGCGTGGCACATCAGCCTGAGATTGACTAATACCAGATTTCCAAACCAAGAGACCTTAGGTTGTAGCAGAAACTCTCTTTAGCTTCAAGTTTGTGAAACTTGTGGTTTGTATTGCTAGATTTGATGATGTTTATGTGCTGTAGTTCTCAGATTCATCTGTTTCTTTCCATGCTGGTCCTCTTCTATTCATGACATTCCCAACTTGCCTAAAAAAAAAATTGATACTTTTTTTTACCTGTGTGTGTTAAGGTCGTTAATTAAAGCTTTAAGTAATAGACTTAAGGAAAGTCACTAATAACTTCCCTTCAGCTTTGTTTTTCTTTTCAGTGCAGATTCTTGGTTTGGTTTTCTTTATTGTATTTTCAGTCTGTTGTTTTAAATCTTCCAGCTCTTGTACTTACCAATTCTTGGTTTGGTTTTCTTTATTGTATTTCCAGTCTGTTGTTTTAAATTTTCCAGCTCTTGTACTTACCTCCATTTTCTGTTTGAACTAATGATTTCCTATGTAAGCTAATGTGCTGTAGTAAATGAGATAAGCTATATTTTCTTAACATAAATGTCAGCTACCTAGTTAATGTTACATTTTATCATGCTTTTGTTCCAAAGTCTTACACACAGCTGAAATCGGACTAATGGGTCTGCAGTTAAAGTAATTTTTTCTTTTCTTTAATATGGGCATATCTTCATCTTCCAGTGATACTTATTTAAAAATCCTTGCTACCTGCCTTACAGTTTCATTTTCTAGTTCATTACTTTGACATTGATTTTTAGATTGTCTTTCCAAATTCAGTTTGCTAAGCTTAACTTTTGCGCCCGATTCTGATCCAGTAGTTTTCATTTCTGTCTGTGGCCATGAGGGTTTTACCCCTGTGTTCTGTACAGTTGTTGGAAGCTGAGGAAAAATATTAGGTTGGCTTTGAAGGCCTACATATAGAGTATCTTGACTTAGTGCTCGCTGCTGTTGCATCTCATTCCCTGGTTTTTCTCTGTATATAACTGAAGAACCTTATTCATATTCTAATTTCTTCTGCAAAGGCCATCTTACCTTTCATGAGTTCTCATTTTGTCCCTATGCATACTACCTTTGGTGGTATATCTTTCTTTACTTTGATTAGGCTCTCTTTTCTTTTAGGCTGTCTCCTTTACTGTTTATAAAGGAGCTTCATTTGGGTTTAGAGGCTTTCCCGTGTGGGTGTTTGTTTTGCCTGTGCTTGTGATGCAAGTCCCAGATAATTTTTGTGCATTTGACACAGATGCCTTTGACAACACAGTTTTTGATCTCCTCGCTCCACTTGGCTTAACTGACAGCGTACTTTAATTGCTTAGTTTGCTGATACAGTAGTAATTTTCCATTCAGCTTAAAGTGCTGGTTAAATGTAACCTGTGTTCCATTTTTGCATCTTTAAGGTCAATTGTAGCTAATCCTTCTTGAGCTAAGAGACACTGAGATTAAATTTTGTTGATGCTTAATGCTGTTGCTGAATTAAGCATGCATTATTAAACTAATAATATTGTCCTCATATATATAAATCAGCTTTATTTTCTTCCTTACTTAAGCTTCTTTTTTAAACATAGTCTAATACAGATTTCTTACACAGATTTCACCGTTTTCTGGATGTGAACAGTCACAAAGTAGAGAGGACCATAGAAGGGTAAGTTTTATGCTTATGGATTAATAATGCATTAGTTAACTTTTTAAAGCATTTTTGATACTGTTTTTGTTATTAGAATACATGAAAAATTGATAGTTCATTCTGACCTTGGAAAAGCTGCAAGCTGGAAAAGACTAACAGAAAAATTTCTGAACTCGCCACTCCCAAGTATTGAAGAAACAAAGGTATGTATGTTGCAATTTTCCTTGTTCTTTTTTTCTAGCACTCTTGTGTTTATACTGACGATGGGGTCTTGAGTTGTAACATTGTGTTGGAAATTTCAGCTGACTTAGCAGTGGGGTTTGCAATTGCTGTCTAGGTCATGGATTTTCAGGGTTCTATTCTTTAGTTTCCCCATTTATTTTAGAAATGTGTTTATTGTCTTTTCAGGGTTTCAGCGTGTGCAGTTTCATGAGTTAAAGGACATCATCTCGTTGCAGAGCAGATGTTTTATGGTCAACATTGTACAAATGTTGTAACTAGAATCTAAATGAATCTAGATTCCTGTCTGTTCTAAAACCACAGTGAACTGAGCAGTTCTTGCTCTTTGCCTGATTTTTTTTTTACCTTAAGTAATGCATCTGGTTGTTTTGATTTTAGCATTTCCAAATGGAGTGCTCCTGCTGTGTAGTTTCCTTATTGAGACTGCGTATATGTTTCGCTTTTCATACACTTTGTATCAAATCAGTTTAGGATATGGACTGGATGGATATGGCAAAAGTTGTCTCACTTAGACACTTTCCACTGTGGTAGTTTAACAATTAATTTGATCTTTGAAAACTAGAAGTTTCTGTTATTGGGAAATTGAAGCTTGTGATGTAGGAGGTGGTGCTCCATATAATGGTAGTCTTTAATAGGGCTGAGTGTTCTGAGTTGTAATCCAATTTTACTTCTCATTGAACTGACATTTACCTTTCTTTGCATTGTTTTAGGTTTTCTCTAATTTGTGGGAAAACCCCTGGAATCCTCAATAGCTTACACATATCTTCAGTTATTATGCTGTACTCTGTAGATTTTTTGAAAAAGTACCTTTAGTTGTACTTGTTTTGAAAGTTGAATAAAATGAAAACCAAACCAACCAAACCAACCAAACCAAAAGCCCAAGCAAGCACTTAACACTTGAATGTTGCAAATATCCTAAGATTTGAAAGATCCTTTTTTTCTCTTTTTTCTTTTTCCCATTTGAAGATGCAACTGGAGTATAACTAGAGGTAGATAATGTCTCATAATTGGGAGATTAAACTGCATTTAGTTTTTAGCAGTGGCACATAACTGGGAAGATTGAGTATTTATCAGTTTTATGACTGATCAGTGGAACACCAGCTGGCACATGTGATTCTGTCGATGGCTTACTGGTGTTCTTTGACAAACTCTTGTAGAGTCAGTAATGTTCAGTAGGAACGTATTATATTCCATATATACTAGATGAGTGTGATGCTGCTTTATCAGAAATTTGAATTATTTTTTTGTAAATACAAGTGGATCTCCTTCTGAAACAGCTTTGTAAGCATGTGTATGTATGTGTCAAAGTGTATAGGATGTAAATTGCAGAATCTCCATGTGTCTAGATATGAAATGGTCTGCTGAGGAACTCAGTGAAGTTAGAGTCAGGCCAAAGAAAGATCTTTCTTTAGTAAGAAATGGTTGTGCTGTACGCAGATATTAGGGAATAGACCATAACACAAATCTCTGCAGCATACTACTGCTGGCACAGTATTCTAACCTGATTCAAGGCCTCTGTTTCACAACCACATTAGTGCAATATTGGAGTGAAAGATGCATCCGTAACGCTTTGTGTAGATTTTCAGATGAGAGTAGATAATGTGAACATGATATTAAAATGTAGCAATTTTAGCTAAGTGTTTTAACTAAGTTTTAGTGGTTTAGCTAGTGTTTTAGCCTCTGTTGGAAATAAACAGCCATATGAATAAGGGAACCTAAGACTTGGTTTCCTGCAGGCCTGTTACCTATGTCCTTCCGCCTCATTTGTGTTAATGTAGCTGTCCATTATCCCTTGTCCTCTGGTAACTTCTTACTTTCACAGTGGTTCAAGGTTCCTCTTCTCTCTTTTCCATATTCTCTGATAATCAGCTCAGTAACAGGCAACTTATGCTGTGGCTGCTTTTGAAGTATTTGTATATTGATTGGCTAATTGATAGGGAAAAGAGGATGGATAACATTCACTATCATGACTATCATTCAATGTCAGAGAATGGATAACATTCAATATCATGTTGCAAATGTTATTTTTGTAATTCAGGTCTTGGGAATGGGAACTAATGGGGATTTTTAGTAGGCTGAGTTTGTTCCTAACCAAAATCTTTTAGACCACTTACTGACTTGCTTTTTTTAAAATGTGTTTTAAAGACAGATACACACTATTCCATACTGTCTCTTCTGTTGTGTTTGTCTGATTCTCCATCCAACACCACCTATGTGGAAAAACGAAGAGTCAAAGAAGTGGGTAAGTTTACATGATGTTTATATTGCTAATGAAAGATAAAATCTGTTAATGCAATCTGATAAGAAGGACATTTTTCCTCTCCATTTTATTATCTCCTTCACTTCAAGGTGCTTTATTGATTGTCTTTTTATGATGTATACATTTAAGATAGCCTGCAAATCTTTCCTACCCCCGTTTGTGTTACATCACCTAATTAAGTTTTCCAGCCACCAAAGTACCTTGGGAACTCTTTTTGACTTGTACCACTATCATTTACTAATATTCTCCACTTGTTAGCAGTGCTTACATGCTCAAAGATGGACAACGGGTTTTTATCCTCAGTCTGTCATGCACGCCAGTAGGAGGTCTGTTGCAACAGCTTTGGTGATGTAAATTCCTGTGTTCCCTATGTAGTCAAGGAAAGGGAGATACCTTTGAAGGTTTCCAGAGGGAGGTCCCAGCTGCCTGCTTTCTAAAGTAGGACTATTTCACTCAGCGCCTAAAAATGAGGCTTGTGCTTAAGTTTGAGTGGATACCATCCCCCATTTATTTACAGTGTTGTATCATAGACTGAAAGAAGAATATTTCAGACTAACCTAAAGAAAATCTTGCATCTTAAGATTCCTTTTTGAATGATCTCTGCACATTCCCTCGGCGGTGTTTTGAATGCACTTTCAGCCCGTTCCAGGAATGTGAATATGAAGAGGTTATCTCAAACAGCACTAATTACAGTTGAGTAAGCTTTGTGTTTAAGATATAATATATTGTAAGTGTGATTGTTATTTTTAAAGTCTTACACATCACATCATAGATATGTGGTGTCTTTTTTGGAGAGTAAGACAGTTCTCGCTTTGTCGTTTACAGTCCAGGGTCCTTGTGCATATGTAAATTATACATTTAGGATGTTTCCACCGAGCTAAATGGGACTAGTCACAATAAGTGATGTGTTGCATTCTTGCATGTTTTTCCAGGATTGAAGCATAGGGTAGTGTAACGTAATACAGATAAATGTGTTGATGGCACGCTGTGTTGCATATTTTGAGTGTATAAGCAACGAAACTGAGAGTTAGTAAATAAGGAATATATATACATGTCTGATACGTCACAATTTACATGTCACGTTGAAAGTGTATAACCTTGTTAAAGGAACAGTGATGTAACCTTAAGTGGAAGGGAATGCCTTTTGTTTTAGATTTAGAGTAACAAGATAATTTTAACTTTGGAAATGTTTTTAGAGGAAAAGAAAGTCAGAGTTATGTGATACTCACTATTTTTATATTTATACTTCTCTTAGAAAAGGAAGAAGAATTTGATTGGGGAAAGTATCTGATGGAAGGAGAAGAAATTTACTTTGGCCCAGGCGTAGATACACCAGTAAGTAATTCCTTAAGGTAAAAAAAAAAGAACTACATAAACCAGTTTGAAGTATGTTGTCTGGTTGAGTTGTCCTAGTTTGTATGTTCTGCATGTTGATTCTTGCAGGACTCCATAATACGTTACTTATTAATACCGTGAAATACCAGAGTAACAGTAATATAAATGCTTTTGGTTTTCACCATATTTTGACTTAGTCCTGCAACTAACCTGGCTCCTTCTGCTGACCCCTGCCTGCTCCTAATCAGAACTTGCTGTAGTTCTGTCATCTTCTCGAATTCTCTCATTTGTCTGGTTATTAATGTTACGTATAACTTAATTGTCTATGACAGACTGATTTAATGTTAGTCTTAGTGTCCTGAATTTAATTTATAGTGGAAGAAAGAAGAGAATAGTTTGTTTGGCTTGAATAGGAAGTGAATATAGATCTGTCTGCTATATCATACAGAAATGTACTGGGTTTTGTTGTACTTAATAGGACTGGTCTGGAGAAAGTGAAGAGGAGGAAGACACTCAGCCTTTGAGCAGGGAGGACTCGGGTATTCAAGTAGACAGGACACCTTTAGAAGACCAAGATCCAAATAAGAAAACAGTACCTAACGTTTCCTGGAAAGGTTGGAATAAGCTAGAATTCTTCTGATCTAGTCATATGTTCTCAAATTTAGCAAGCTAATGCAGCTTTATGTATTATTCTTTAGTGAGGTATTGTGTTTTAGACCTATAATTGTAGTTTTAAGGTGCACCTTGTTGTTCACTACTGCTTTTTTTTTTTTCATTTTTAACAGTAAAGAAGCAATGTGGAAGCAATGTTGTTGCTAATGGAGAAGAATTCTGTTTATTTCTGTGGAAATATACATGAATATTCCAATATAGAAATTAAAACTTATACAGTAAATGTATCATGTAGTTGTATGGATATAATGTGAATTTTTATTAAGTAGGAGAACGCTGAAACAAAATTTGGTTGACAACAGAAACAGTTGACTCAGTTCTGGAAACATTTTTGAAAAAACTAGTTTTGTGTAATTAAAACACTGATGGCTTACTCCTGAATAGCTTCAGGGAGTATTAACTGTAGCTGTGTATTTTTTGCATAGAATAGTGTAGGATACACCTTGTATAAGAAGACTGGGTAATTTTGATATGTTGAATAAGCAGTAGCTATCTAACGGGGATTAGGTAAAGTTTTCTTGATAATCACATGTAAGAAAAACATTTTTAAGTAATGTACTAAATTGTGTGGTAAAAAGAAACACAGTGACAAAGTTGGTGATATTGGGCAATTTATTTTTTAAGCCAGCTTGGTTTTGTATAAATCATTTGAGAATTGCCTGAGACAGAAGCACATTTTTCTGAGGAAGAATTGGAAACTACATAAATCTCCAAGTTTATTTTTTAAGACTTTTGCAGCTTTTAGGAGATTAGGCATTTCTATGTAAATGAATTTGTGCTCGATGGTATCGTATGTATGAGTGCAGTAAAGTGTAAGTAGTTGTAAATTGTAACTTATTTGAAAAGATCTGTGAATCTGCAGCTGAGCGAATAGGCTTATTAATAACTTTTTCCTGTGTTTTATAAGCATTTCCTGAATAAATAAAAATACCTCACTGACTGTCACGTGTTTTCACAGTCGGGGAACCGGATGCCCGCAGCTGGCTGGAGCAGCATGTAGTTCCTCAGTACTGGACAGGGAGAGCTCCTCGCTTTTCACATAGTTTGCACTTGCATTCCAACTTAGCTGCAGTCTGGTAAGAAAACAGCATCTTTTACATGTTCCTTACTGGCATATAATGCTCAATAATTACTTCATTAAGCATCTTTACTGTGGAAGCAAGAAGATAGTATAGTTATTACTGAATTAGTTAAAAACAGAATTAAAAGGATAGGAATTAATAAGATGAACAAACAAGCCGTTTTTTCTATTAATAGATTGTTTTCCTTTTATTTAGTTTTTATTACTGTTGTTGTATCAGAGAGAGGGCTTTCCTTTTTCAAAGAAGCAAGTCTTATTGTTGAATTTTGTTTGGGTTGACCCTTACGAAGGTCTCTGAGGAACTAATATAGGTGGGTTGCAAGTGGTAATGGAAGTGAGGAGTTCCCTGAAGTTTAACTTTTTGTTTGTTTTTGGTGCCTCCCTTACAAAGTTAGTCTTAAAGACAGTTTTTGTGTGGGGAAGGAACATAAAGCAGTATATCGTTGTGATCTACTGTGGTTTTAGAGAGAAAATGAGAAGGAAGTTCAATTGAAAAAAAAAAAAAGCAAGCCCGATTCTTCCCTCTGTCTCAAATTCTGATGTATCAGTACTACAGTGATACAGATCATTAGATTTATCTTTGTTTCCTTAATTCAGTGAATTTCTTAATCAAGGAGGTAAATTTACTGTAGTGTCAGTTGGTTAGCTAGCCAGTTATGAACCAAAATTTACAGTGAATATTAGGAAATCAGTAACATAAACAAAGCAACACTGTTCCTATTGCTATGGTGTTAGCAGATGTATGTTATAGATGTGTATGGTATATAACCAGTATTACTTAATTTGGATGTTTGAGTTTTGAATGCGATTACATAAATTTTGCCCCTGATGATATTAATGAGTGAAAATACTACAAATGCAAGTAATCATTCTATACTTCGCTGAAATATGAAAAATACTGAAGAATGTTTACAAAGAATTGTTTAACGCAAGATCATAACAGAAACTTCTTAGGTGGCTGTGTAAGTTTCCATTTCTTAAGTAAACTTTTGGGCTAAAGCGTGAATTTTATTATACAGGTTAGGGAAATTGATATTTTACTTTTTAGCTTAGTATTTTTAACATAAAGTAACTATAAATTTTCACAGCGTTGAATGAGAAATAATAAAATAATCAAGGATCAAGAATTAAAAAAAAAGCAAAAATCAAAACAACACAGATTCAGTACTACGGTTATTTGCTACTTAATTGCTTGTCTTGCTGTGTATGACTAGGTGATATTTGAGTGCTCTCCATAGTATTTTGCTTCACAATATGGAAACAAACTCTGCTTTTGTTTATGTACTTAAAATGCCCCCATGAGCATTGAATCTACTCAGATATAATTAGAGCAAAACTGAGTCCTAAGATTATTACTTCGTTCTTACTTTCAGGTGATTCAGCAATTATTTCAACCATTAAAGTGTTTTCATTTCCTTTTTTTCTAAGGGACCACCACTTGTACACCACTGATCCTTTATATGTGCCAGAAGAGAGAACTCTAGTCACTGAGACTCAGGTTATACGGGAAACTCTTTGGTAAGAGCAACATCACAAAGCTTGCATTTTAACTTTTAGTATTTCTCTCAAGGAAATGAGAGATTTATCTTTGAGGTTGTAGCTGAAGAAAGAATTATTACTGAGCTTTTAGCTTGCACCATTGCTGACAATAAAGATGCTGCTTATGTGTGTTAACCATTGACATTCACAAAGAAGAAAGTAGCTTACTACTTGTATACACAGATTCTTCCAAATCTAACTGTTAAGAGGAACCACCTTACTCTTATCCTCCCCCTATGGAGTTTTAACACAGTATCCAATTTTAGAAAGTAGATTTGAGTCGTCCTATAGCTGGAAATTATCTCAACTGGAAAGGAACTTTAGGCGATGTTTACTTGATGCTAGTGTTTTATTGTTCTTCCAACAACTTACAGTACCAGTAGCATCATAGTTGATCTGTGGTCCCATTTTATTTGAAGAAAATAAATTGTTAGGCAAGGGAGAGCTAATTCTTTCGTTAATTATATAAGTCCATTAAGGGTGAAAAATTACTACTCTCTCTGTTTCTTTTCAAGGCTACTTTCAGGAGTGAAAAAGCTTTTCATATTTCAGCTGAATGATGGAAAAGTGGCTGTGCGGAATGATATTATTGTAACTCATTTAACCCATGTAAGTTGTTTCTGAATCTCAGCTGAAATATCTGTCATTAGGAAGATGTAACTTTGAGGAATAGGAAATTAAACTGCTTGTGGAAAAATCACGTTTCCACAATCGTGTTTTGATTAAATTAAGAACATCTGACGTAATAAAACTGAATGGGCTGTTCCCGTATCTAAGAATGTGATGTGAAGCAATAGAGATGGCAGAATTTTATTGTATTTTAATTCATAAAAATATGTTGTGATTTAATTTTTAGGCTTTATAAAATACAAATTTTTATTAGATGATTCTAAAAAGTTTGTGTGTTTTTTTTTTTTTCCTAGAATTGCCTGAGATCTGTATTGGAGCAGATAGCAGCATATGGTCAGGTTGTGTTTAGACTACAGAAGTTTATTGATGAAGTGATGGGACACAGCCCGGAAAGCTCCACTCCAAAGAAAACTACCGAAGCCCCATTCAGAACCTACCAAGCTTTTATGTGGGCCTTGTATAAATATTTCATTAGCTTTAAAGAAGAACTTACTGAAATTGAAAAATGCATAATCAACAAAGGTACAGTGCAGGGGAAGTTTTACAAGAGGGGGGCACACAAGGAAATTTTTATAAGAGGGAAACATGAAAAACATTATGGAGATACATTTTGAAACTGTGAAAGATGCCATGCTGCATTTTAGAACCTCATAATATTGACAAAATTTGATTTTCTGTTGGGTGTTACTTTTATAGATTTTGTTTGTTTGTTTGTTTTCCCCAGATAAAACAGTCACGCTTTCAATAGTAATAGATAAGTTGTCTCCCCGACTGGCACAGCTGAAGGTACTTCACAAAGTTTTCAGCACAGGAGTAGCGGAAGTGCCACCTGACACTAGAAATGTTGTACGAGCATCTCATCTGCTTAATACTCTCTATAAAGCTATTCTTGAATATGACAGTGTTGGAGAAGCATCTGAGCAAACGGTAGGGGAGATCATTCCTTCCTTAATAGAACGATGCACTAGAAAATTTAGTAATTTAAATTTCTTTGTGGTGATGGAGTACACTAGCCTTCAGCTATCGAGGTTTGAGGACAAATTTGATAGCCGTGATGCACTACTGTTTTCTGACATGAGTTCACTCAACCTGGACAAAATCAGATTTATGAGGAGATCCCCAGCAGTGTGTTTTTAGGACTGAGGGGAGCAACTGTGGGGAATCAGGGGCCAGGAAGCTGTTATGAAAGAGGGAGCTTTGGAATAGCTTTCCCTCCTTCTATATCTCAAGCTGCACAATTCCGTTAATGCTGAAATGTAGGGGTTTGGGTTTTTACAGTAACTTGTTGATGATACTACTGAAAATATAGTCGATGTCATTATGTCCTTTTGTTTTCCTGTTTTCTACGTTGTAAAACCATAGAATGTTTTATCACTATCCCTTACTGTTTAAGAAATGTTAGAATGAGAAAAATGAAAACTGCTGTTTGGGTCGAACTGTGATGACAAAAGTAACAAGAGGAAGCTTGCACAATGCGGGCTTCCATTAAAACTACTAAAGCTAATTTTTAGTTTAACATTTTATCTTTTAAAAATCCTTAAGTATAGTTATGGATATCTTATAAACTATGATGCACAATGAAGAGGTTAGGCTTTGCCATATTGCTTCTAATGCTTAATATAAAAACATTCAGCCACTTCTTTTTCTCCACCCACCCCCCTGCCCCCCCTTTAAATTCAGGTGTCACTTCTGTTCTCTCTCTGGGTTGAAACCGTGAGGCCATACTTACAGACAGTGGATGAGTGGATAGTCCATGGTAATTTGTTTGATCCTGCAAAAGAATTTATCATTCAGAGGTAGGGATGCTGATGCTGGACACACACAATGCTGTTCAAGTATGAATACAAAACCTGCTGTAGAACCTAGGAAGTAAAGGGTGACAAGAACAGTAGGTTTTCACATTTGTTGTTTTACTTAAGTAGAATGAATCTCTTAATCGTACTTTTATAACTTGTCTCAAACTTCCCATTAGGGAAATTGCATTAGATCTGGAGCCCTACCAGGTATTGTTCTGCAATAGAAATAAATTGTTTTATTTTTTCCATGTATAATAAATAATCAGCAGTTCGACTCTGAGTGTGTTGACTTTTTTAAAAGCAATTAACCATTTTCAAAACCAAGACATTTGCAAAAATTACAAAATCTACTTTTTAATTCTTCTACTAATCTATAGTTGTTATAAATCAAATGCTGTTTAGAATTAAAATACTCATTTCTTCTGACTTGTAGCACAAGTTAATGTGGTGTCTTGAATTACATGCACACATCCTAAACATTATTTGAGCTGTTAATTTTGCTTCTGTTTGTATGATACATTTTGCCAGTCCCTTTTTTGACAGCTTAAAGTGGAAATTGAATACAGAAATTAGAGTTTTGGCTCGTAATTACAAATCCATTTCCCCCTATCTGCCAAACTTAATTGAACCTCTGTCTGTTAAACCAGATCAAAGTGAGCATGAGGAGAACAGCTCTAGTACTATTGTAATAATTCCTTAGTAGCTGAGATCTTTAACATCCTTATTATGTCCTACTTGAGTTTTCTTTCTGTGATTCTGTAGTTGTGTTTTCAGTGCTACTAACAGAGGCGATTTCAACTTTTATTTATATTTATGCTTCATTTTAATTATCTAATTTAGGTTGTTTTTTATCTGACTTCAAAGACCAAACTGTGTATCTGATGTAAACAACACAAAAGGAAAGTGAACTAAGAATTGAGTTTCACCTACTCTGTAATTTTGCAGCTTTCCTAGTAGTATTTGCTTCATTGTGGGTTTTAAATAAATCTGCAAGTCAATCGCTAATCATTTTGTTATTAAGGATGCATGCCACTCTGAATAGTTATCTTCCTGGACAAATTTAATAATAATTACTCTATTTACCTTGTTTGGGGGGTTTATTTGGTTATACAGTTATCTCCTGTGAACTGATTCTTTAACTGCCTAAAACTATCATCCTTTCTAGAGGTATCTAGATTGTGATATGAATGAACTTATTTTACATAGTTTTGAAAGCGCTTCTTGACTGTTCTAAGAGAAGGGCGAAGCACAGAGCAAAGATGATATGCAGCGTCTAGTAATGAAGTTTTTGAAAAAGGAAATACCGAACGGCTTTTTGTTTCTTTGCAGAAATAAAAATGTTCCAGTTAATCACAGGGATTTTTGGTATGCTACCTACACTTTATATAGTGTGTCAGAGAAGACGGAGAACGAAGAGAAGATGAGTGATAACGCCAGTGCCAGTTCTGGCAGTGATCAGGCCCCTTCAAGCAGGCAACACACTATGGTCTCTTTTCTGAAACCTGTGCTAAAGCAAATAATCATGGCTGGAAAATCCATGCAGCTGTTGAAGAATCTTCAATGCAAAGATGGCTCTCCGCAGCAGACCGCGTCAAGAGGTGAGATACCAGTTTGCTGGACGATCATACCTTAGCGTATCTGACAGTATGGGTGTGTTATTTGTAGTAGTGTTTCCATGATTTCAGAACAATGTAATGCTCTGTGTTGAATGTCAGTAATGTGGTTAGTAACTTCAGATCTGATTTGAAAACACTTACTCGATGCAAACAAGCAAAAAGAGCAAATTGAATAGAGATTGAGTGTTCCCTTTGCTTTTTATTGCTTTAAATTTTTCTTAAACTTGTTTTCATGTGCTTGCAAAACATTTCTTTGTTATGAGACAAATGAAAAAGGCTTGTATGTTCTAGTAGTAAAACTGTTTTGTTTTAGTAAATAGTTGTTTTCCATTACTAGGTGATTGAATAATTCTGAGATAGCATGAGGAACTTTTAAAAATGGAAGATATTTGGATATTTATCTTGAGTGATTGTAAAACATAGTACAACAGTGTAACCAATGTTGGGGTTTTTTTGTGTGGTGTGTTTTTTTTTTTTTTAATTTGAGGAAACAAAATACTTTTTTTGATTTTACTGTTTCCTGATGTTTTGAAGTAGAGATAGTCAAATTATTTTGGAGACTGTCTAGGTTTATTTCCCCCTTTAGGGTGAGAATATAATCTATTCTAGTGAATACTGAAGGGTTGTTTCAGGTGATAAGAATTAACTGCCTTCGCACCTGAAGGAGAAAGTTCTCTAACAGTCTCTGAAATATTTCCTGTTTCAGACACCTATTCAGCAATCCATTTGAACATATGCCTGACCTTAGACATTGACCTAGTCCTACTGTTTTAGCAATACTTATTTAAATACATATCTGAGTTTTTTCCTGAATAGTTGCCTAAATTTAGTATGTTAAAAGTTAGCAAGTAAATGTTGGACCATGGAGTGCTTCTTTTAGTTCAGATGATGTTTTCTCTTAGAACAAAATCTCACTGTGGAATGCGTTGCCCAATTTAGATGCTGAACGAAAGAGTTTGTATACACTGTTCTTGGAATCGGTGCAGTCTCGCCTGCGGCATGGGGAAGAGTCTGTTCCAGATATTATTACAGAACAGCAGGCCACAAAGCAGAGCCTGATAAAGATGCAGTCTATAGCAGAAAGACACTTGGAACTGGATGATGTCCATGACCCACTGCTGGCTATTAATTTTGCCAGGTAAATGAATCATCTTCCTGCTGTGCTGTTGAGAGCAATGTTCTGCCTGGTGACATTTGGTAGACCAAGTTTTTATTGTTGCTTCTGCTGGAAACAAGCAAGCACAAAATAAAGAGGAGCACCAACAATGAGTGACAGAAGCTAAATAAACACTACCCTTGTGCTTAGTTAAAGAAAATCAATTAAAATCAGTGAAGAATCTGCTACTCACATCTGTTAGTGAAGAAAATGGGAGTAGTCTTTATCGTAACAGGCTTTTAGCAAATAAGTGTTTTAATAGTGAATGCTGTTGTAAAATCTAAACTTTTAAATGTGTTTGCTTGGAATTTGTACACAATGTCTTTGATTTGCACTAACTGTATCCTTTGAAGAATGCAGCTTCTGTTGTGCTGTGCTTAAATAATTTAACTTTAAAAGCATTCCAAAATTCATGTCAACTGCATAAAAGTTCTTCATTCTTCATAATGAGGGAAGTCATATAGAGGTTCTAAATGTCTTGGAAATTAGCAGGAAAAACAAACTCTGAAAATCTTCCTTATTTCGTGATTACAAATAAGAAAATAGATATTTATATTTTTCCTAAGTGCTAGTTGGTGATTTATATGTTTTCATTTCAGTCCTCAGGGGAGGTTGTGTTAAAGAAATCATAATTAATAGTAGATGAGACTCTATTACTTCCCTTGTTCATTGGGACTATTCTGTTTGACAAAATTGATGGATTAATTCGATGTCTGACTCAGACAGTCTATCAAGGCAATAGCTGCTATGAGCCGGACTTCCTCTTACAATGGATTCAACTAGTGATTAGCTTTTTACAAATTGTTATAAAAATCTGATGCTTTCTGTGACAGAATGATTACACTTACTAAATGTAGACTGCAGATACTCTCTTCCTGTGATGTATTATTACAGATAATACGTAGGGACCCCATATTTAAGGTGCCTCAAACCAATTCTCCACGTGTGGTGGGTTTTTTGTTTGTTTTTTGGTTTGTTGTTGGGTTTTGCTGTTGTTGTTGTTCAGATATTTACTTTGTTTCTTTATTTTTCTTTCCTGGGAAGTTCATCTGACTGCTGTATAGGCACAATATAGTTTTAGAAGTTCCTATGATAGTGGGTTTGTTTATTAAGCTGTGGAGTGTTTGAACTTGATGTTGTTTTTCAGAATTATTCCTTGAGCAATTATGTGATTATAGTATGCCTTCCTTTTTGATATTCTTATGCCGGGTCGTACCAAAACAGTGTGAAGGATCACTTAGTAGGCTTGATATGTACTATAGTTATGAAACAGCTTTTATTGCTTCTGCACCATATATTTTAAAGCAGAGGATCCGATTTTGATTAAAATCTTTGGAAGTTTTTTGCTCTATATATTGTATGAATTATGAACCTTCTTCCCTAAGTAGTTTGTTTTGTTTTCAAGATTATATTTGGAACAGAGTGACTTTCACGAGAAGTTTACTGGTGGGGATGTTTGTGTGGATAGATCCTCAGAATCTGTGACCTGCCAGACTTTTGAACTGACATTGAGGTCTTGCCTTTATCCACACATAGACAAGCAATACTTTGAATGCTGTGGTAATCTAATGCAAACTTTAAAGAAGGATTATAGGTAAGAAAATAGATTTGTTTTTCCTTAACTTTTTTTTAATTACTGGTAGTATGCTGTACACTATAAGCAGGAATTCTATGTTGTATTTCTACTCCAGTTTGATAACCAACAATAAAATCATTCAGGAAGAAAGGGGGATCTAACATGATAGAATCTTGAGTGAAAACTTGGTCTAGCTTAAATCAACAGCAAAGCTATCATTTGTCTTCAGTGGATGTTCAATGGAGAAATTGTGTCAAACACTACTTTTAATAGTGTTGTCATTTGAAAGTGGAAGACAAATTTTAGGAAGCTAGAGTATATTTAATATGAGATTCAGTTATGCTACTATAAATTGTATAGTAGACAAAAAATATGATAACGTATTTTTATATTACGTGAAGTAAAACATCCTATTCCTCTTACCTTTCAGGTGGTCGCAAGTTGTCATACTTTTATTTTCTCTGAAATACTTAATGTATTTATAGTTACGGTTCTTGTGAGAGTTGTAGTGTTACTATTCTTCCTACTTTATCGGAAAAGGAAAATCCATATCATCATTTTCTGAGGCTCCAGATTAAAGTCTTGTCTTAGACAGAACTCTCCCTGAAATTCCATCTCCTTCCCCAAGTTCTGTTTAGGGAGAGGGACAGGATTTCCAAACTCTAAGCTATTTCTGAGAATTGCCTAGCCTGTAAGATAGCCCAATACTGTGAGCACTTCTTTTGAAGTTAGTGGCGCTGTTCAAGCTTATAGGAAAAAATGGCTTGGTTATTTTGTTTCTACTTGAACGTATGTGAAGGCTATCTGAGGATTAAACAAAGGATTTACTGTGGACTTCATTAAGTTTGTGTGCAGTACTGAGTTTTTGTAGTGAAGAGTTTAAGGGTTTTGTTTCTGTAACAGTTGTGTTGGATTTCACTTGTATGATTAAGACTAAGGAAATGTTATATGTTTGTTCCTGTTTAGGCTTGTAGAATATTTGCAGGCAATGAGAAACTTTTTCTTGCTTGAAGCTGGAGATACCATGTATGACTTCTATACATCTATTTTTGACAAAATTAGAGAAAAGGAAACTTGGCAGAATGTTGCTTTCTTAAATGTTCAACTTCAAGAAGCAGTTGGGCAACGCTATCCAGAGGACAGTGCAAGGTAAAATGCAAAATCCTGCAAAATACAGTTTAGTTTCTTTCACACTTACCTATACTAATGTACTTAACTTGCATAGCGAAATACTAATTATTGTGTACTTATTAAAAGAATCTGTTTTAATGAAGTTTTGGGATGTTGTCATCACTTCTACCCACGTCTCCCAGATTAAATCAGACAGTTGATATTTAGCAATTAGAAATAAAAAAACTTTAATGAGACTAACCACTAATTTAAAACAGATTATCACCAATTAAATCACTTGTTTCCTTGCATAGGTTGTCTATATCATTTGAAAGTGTTGATACAGCAAAGAAGAAACTCCCTGTCCACACCTTAGATGGTTTGACTTTGAGTTACAAGGTAGTGAGTTAGTATTGCTGTAGTTCTTATTCTAAAACAGATTTGAAATGTTATATTAAAGTGACTTACATTTCCTGTCTTGATTATCTTCTCCTCTTCTTAGGTTCCTTGGCCCGTGGATATAGTTATAAGCTTAGAATGCCAAAAAATTTACAATCAAGTTTTTCTGCTCTTACTGCAAATAAAGTGGGCCAAGTATAGTCTAGATGTTCTACGATTTGATGGTAAGAAACTTCTTCAATGAAACATACTCTAAAAACCTTATCTGTGGTCTAAGGATATAAGTAGTCTGCTGCTTTCTGCAGTAAGTAGTATAAACCAGTTAGAATTTTGATTCATTCTATAGAATATTAATCTCTATCTTCACAAATTAGTTATATTAAGCAGGGCATGTTTTTCACTTCATTTCAGCCTCAGGGACAACACTTTTCATGCATTCCCTTTGTCTCTGATTCAGGTCTAGTTAGTTGTATTGGAAACTTGTTACTTCATTCTTCAGATCTTGCTGTTGAAAGAAGATTTGTCTACCACACCCTAATGTTTTACTTCATGTGTAGTCCAAGTTTTTATGAATAATACCTTGCAAACAAGTTAAGAAAAAAAGATGAAAAAAATACTCTATTTCAGATTGAAACAGTAAGCTAGATAGTTTGGAATACGTACTCTAAGCTGCAATTTAAATATTTGGGGATTGTGGAAAGAGATCTCTTGCTGTCTCCTTCACCAGGTTAGTGTTTATACTCTTTCTGTCCCATATAAAGTGCATACACACTTCATGTCCTAGAAAAATAAATTAGAAAGTTGACAGATTCATTTGGGATTTGTACATAGTTGGTACACATGTTGAGTAATTCTCTTCCTAAAAGTATGTGGGTTTCTGTTTAAACTTCATGGGTATGGCTTTGTGCTTAAGTCTTTTCACCTTTATGGAGATAGTGTACACAGTTATTTTTAATGTAATTTTTTTTTATCCTTTCACATAATCTTTAGCTCTTAAATAGCATTTTCTATTCCAGTGTTTATCAAATTGCATTGTGCATACACTGTCAAACTATTCAGTATATTGTTGCTATATTTTAATAACACACCTGAATTGCAAGAAGCGTCTTAACATCAGTATTGTTTGCAGAGTAATAAGAAATAACAAATTTCAGTTTTAAGTAACAGCTACAGTTTGTCTTCATAAGCACTTCAATACAATACTCTTGCCTTTTCTTTTTAGAACTAGTTTGTGCTGCAGAAAACCCACAGGTTAAGGAAGGAACTTTATTAGAACAAGGAACACTTCCTCCATTTGGACTGCAAACAGAAAGTATAAAACAGCAAATACATCGCATGTTCCTCTTAAGAGTGAAACTTATGCATTTTGTTAACAGCCTGCACAACTACATCATGACTAGGGTTTGTCTTTTATCACAATTTCATTTATATCAAGAACTTGTAACTGGAGATCCAGTATTATTTTTCCTTTAAAACATAAAAAACAAAATTTAAAAGCAAAATCTTAGTCTACTGTCCTTTCTGCAAAATGATTTTGAGCTAAACATGTTTCAGTTTTAACTTGGCAGTTTTAAGTCAGTAATTCTAAAAGTGATTTATAAGTTGTACTTGCATATGATTGATCTTTGGATATTACTAGTTTTTTTTTGACTGTTTCTCCCAGTGCTAGATGACTAAAGCACAGTCATGTAAAACCAGATTTCTGTAAGCGGTTACTCTGTTAAGAGATATTATGCTTATAAAAGTGTTACTACAGGCATTTTAGTTAAATGGATCCTTCTTCAAAAATTTCTAGTATATAGATCCAAAAGTATGTACATGTCTTCTCAAATATAAAGGCAATGCCTGTAGATTCGTATCTGCTCTACTGTTGCATTTTTTTGCCTTTAATAAAATTAATATAGTCCAAATCGACTCCTCTGGGGATAGTCTGTCTGCATAGCCCTTGTGCAATGGCAATATTCCTGTTTATATGAGGAATGTCATTGTGCAGTTATGAGAAGAGCTGACATGTTTTGCTATTGATGGTATTTAGCTATTGATAGTAATTTGGAGGGCGAACCTATAATTTGAGAGGGAAGAGTGAATGAATTGCGCATTTTTAGGCTCTTAAAAAAAAATGTATTGGAAGAGAGTCATAAGCACGGTCTTTTTTTTTTAAGATTCTTCACAGTACAGGTTTGGAGTTTCAGCATCAGGTAGAAGAAGCCAAAGATTTAGATCAATTGATAAAGATTCATTACAGATATCTATCTACAATCCATGATCGCTGCCTTCTGAGAGAAAAGGTGGGTAAAAAAATTGGCGTATTTGATATAT